ATCTGAGCGAATGCGCAAACTATAAACAAGAAATAAAAATAACTTTGCTCAAAGTCTAAGTCTCTTCTCTATCATCTTAGCAAACAACTACCCCCAACCCTTTTCCCCCTCCATCCGATTAAAAAAATCAATAGGCTACCAACACCTGGTATACATGATTACTTTAAACACACCTAAATAACCAAGAAGGCCTAATGTTACATGCTATTGCACATGTCACGTAGTCTATCAATGTTATAATTCATAACTATTATTTGAGAATAAATAATTTTTTTGTGTATTACTAATTAGACCATTAGTTTTCTCGCGTTGTCAGGGAAACGTGGAAGTAAATAAGGCAGGATTTTTTTCTCATAAAGGTCATATTGCAATATCATAGTGGCCTTGCATCAGCAAACTGGACTAAGAAAAGATGCTACTGTAAAGATAAGGATGGGGAAGAAACAAAGGACCCAGTCTGGAGGAATGTTCCACGTGGAACCTCCGTCAAACGTAGGCAGTGCTTGAAATGTTTCCTGCCACGCAGCAGACTCTGTACATCTTCGCCGTTTCTGGTTGGCTGCTTATTGCGGAAGCCACGTTGGCAACGGCATCATTGGTGTTTCGCTGTCACGTGGTCAGCGAGACGTTCCCTGATTGGCTGTAGCTCTCCGATTCGAGAAGCCGAAAAAAGGATGAGCGGTGCCTTTCAGTAAGTTTATACGTGGAATGCGAGTCCTGTGAGTTTAGTATTGATTTTCTTCTCAGCTGTTTTCTGTGCTGCTGTTATTTTGCTTCAGAAAAGACACATTTCCTTGCATCTTTTGTTTGCATGGTATTTACTCAGTACTACCCAAAGGTGAGAATTTTGACCCATAAACACTGCATGCCGCACTCTTGTTCCTCTCTAGAATCTGTAGACTAGAGAGCCTATAGAATAGACTCGCTATAAGAATAGTTTTAGTGTTTTCAGTTTTGGTTCAATGATCTCTGATCTTGAAGTTCTTCCTGGTATTCTCCACCAGAGTACAAGAAGAGACATTCAAGTCGAAGCCAATGAAAGGTTTTTTTGGTGGGTTTTTTTCTTTGCACTGATGCTTTTACTTTTATTTTGCGAGCAGAATCTTACAGACAGTGACCGTGCCTTTCAAATATATTCAAACTAATAAAACTGATGCCACTGTAGTTTGTGGAGTATTTATTTGCATGATCCCCAACAACTTGTTTTATTTTACCAACAAATCAACCCTCTGACTCTAGCATCAGCACTACTGTCACTACTCTACTTACTAGATATCTAGATCTGCGAGAAATCTAGATTTACATGATCTCGCCAATCATATTTTTACAGGTAGGCTGATGTGTGAGCACTTAAAAGCTTTTTCTCTCTATACTCTCAGTACAGTGTACCTCCCTCCTCAGCAAGCTGACTCCTGTTCTCCTACTCCTATGAGAATCTACTAGATCTAGATCTAGGTCTAGTGTCCTTACTTATACTTTAAAAAATTGTTCTTTTGGACTTTTGTGATTATAATTTAGCCTAATGCCTAATGACAGTTATTTAGTTTTTTATAATAAACGTTAAAAGGCTAAGATAGGTAACGGATGAGATTGGCTGGTCGGGCCGATCGCCCGTAATTGGCACCCCGTATAAGTCTACAAGTAAAAGTTGTGGCTTATGGAACATGGTTACGAGTGTATAGAGATTGACCCGTAAAAATTTTTTTGCAAACTGTTCACCTGTTTTCGCAGTCTTTACCTCTATACCCTATCTTCTTCCAAGCACACGTCCCGTGCAGCTGCTTTTAACTCTCTGAAGACGTGCCCACTTTCCCTTTCTCGATACCCTGTCGCACTTTGTTTGCCCTTTTTTTTTACCAGGTTACCATTTTTTCCCCATCAATAGTACAAAAATCACACTTACACCACTAGAAGTATAGTTTCTGTATTATTCTGTAATACCAATCAATCACAATACCAGTTTTACCTTGATCAAGGCTGCAAGATCGCTATGTTTGCCCTCTAAAGCAAAAAAAAAAAATGACAAGGTGAGACTTGGGGGTCAGGTAGATCTAGATCTACCAACCAATGGTACAGATTCATCAAATCTTGACGAATCTGTACCGGCCATCATCCATAAACAACTTCAAAGCTTCTTCAGTCCGCATCAAACCACGTCGCCTGGAGCTCGCCATTTTGGATAGAAACTGCGTCTTTTCGTACGAAAGAATGGGGCCTAAAACAAAAGCCATGCAAAGCTATCCTAATTCAAAAGCAAAGGAAATCAACCAAATTATAGGGCTTTGGACGAGCTTTCCAGTGATATAGGGGTTGCCACCTTAGACCACTAGTTTAGCAAATAAACACGTTTAAGATCGTCAGCGGATTATCCGCTGAGATGTCTTCAAAGAGTTAATGTGGGTGGTTGGCGGGTGCTCTGGTGTGATAAATTGCTTCTTCTTTCCAATCAAACATCTATCGCCCTTATATCTCCCCTTCTTCTTTTTTATGTTTGTTACTCACTTGTAACACCTATAATCTTCTGGCGCTCATATGACCTTATGCAGTTGCGAGCGCCGTAAAACCTCTTCTAAAAAAAAAAAGTTAACACAAGGACTCTGCCACTCTCTGTGCACACAGTCCATTTGGTGGCTCAGCACCATTTTGCCCTAAGGCAAACATTAATTGCGCCAACGCCAGAAGTAAGGCAATATTGTTTAGGCAAGCTGGAAAAAAATTGCTGAGCTCTGCACAATTGGGGATGGCCTTTGTCAATGTCCCCAACCTACCTACTAGACAATGCGGAGCTGGCCAAGACCTCTTTCATCAAGTCCTTGTTGTTCATGTCACTTTCACCCGTGCACCTACATCCCCTGTTCACCCCATAGAAAAGGGATCCATTGCCATGAACTTTTAACCTAGACTACTAATTTTTTATTTGTTAATTACTTACTAAAGCAAATGCTGGTGGGTGGGCAGCCCTGGATTAATATGTTGCTAACCATACATTCTGATCTGTAATGATACCTCTGCGGTACAGTGTGAGGGTTCTGTGGTTTCTTTTGCTACATTCTGATGACCCGGAATATTCCAAATTACCCCATTGGACAGTGGATTATTCCTATTTTGTGTTTATACCCCAGTTTTGCTCTTCACTGAACTACTAAACAGCATTGCATGGGTTGGTTTAAATGCTCAATCTGGCAAAATCCTGCTCTAAGGGAGTCTGAAGTTTGCCACGCTAAAAAAATCCATCCACTCTCCCATTTGATGTGATTCAGCCTTGATGGAGCGCTTGATGGTAGTTGTAATTATGAGTGCATGCTTTTTTAAACGTTTTTTTTTTTCTTTTTGTTCTTTACAGATGCGTTCAAAACAAGCCATGAAGTTCAACATATTTATTCTGGTGGTTTTCACCATCTCTACAGTCTACTGTAGTGCTATCCCCACGAATGAGAAAAAACACAGGTCTCATGAAAAGGTGAGTGGGAAGTCTTGAAAATTCTTTTTGTTACTGTAGTGAGGGATAGAGGGTGTGGTGGCGGAGTGGTTAGTGCGCTCGTCTCCTAAGCGGAAAGTCCGGGTTCAAGCCTCGGTTCAGACACGGATTTGTTTCGCCCCGTCCTGCCCACCCAACAGTAATGGGTACCTGACTTCGAGTTTGGGAAGTTAAAGCAACGTGGAAGGAACTGGCCACCCTACCACAATATGCTGAAGGACTAGGAAGTTGTTTCACTAACAAGGCAATCCCCAATGTCCGGATCAGATGCGGGAACAAACTTTTTACTGAGGGATGCTCGTCTTTTGACCTTTTTATGTAGGCCCCTACTCTTTTATTAGCCCTATCACACTTTTAGACAAACTAATTATATATATATTCTTTTTTTTTAAAATAATTTTTTATTTATTTATTTATTTTTTTTTATCTTGGTTTCTTGATTCTAGTCATGTGAATAATTCTACTGACGGTCATTGAGACATTAAAGATTTTGATAATTTTGATTAAATTCTGACAAAAGTTGAGTTTTTTTAATTGTTTTTTGATACGTTGGGTGACATATTGTATTCTTTCATGAATTTCCCTCGTGTCTTCAGTCCCTGAGTGATGAGGATCATAACACGGGCGGCCACCACAACCCAGACTATGACCACGACGCTTTCTTGGGCCACGACGAGGCGGAAACTTTCGACCAGCTGTCGCCAGAGGAAAGCAAGGCCAGATTGGCGTAAGTTGTGTCCTGTGTCAATGAGGGGGCTTGTGATCTGTGTGTGTGTGTGTGGAATACATACAGGGGTGAGGGGTGTTGTTGGATGTGTGCTGGATTCATTCCTCTTAGACCATGTCAGTGGGTGGGTGGTTGGCGGGTGCTCTACTGTGGTTTGCTTCTTCTTTCCTATCAAAGATCTATCGTCCTTATCTCCCCTTCTTCTTTTTTATGTTTGTTACTCTCTTGTAACACCTGTAATCTTCTGGCGCTCATATGACCTTATGCAGTTGCGAGTGCCGTAAAACCTCTACTAAAACTAAACTAACTAACCCTAACTATACGCCCTGGGGTCATTTTGTATCCCCAGGGTTGTATTCTTCAAATTTTAGAATACTTTTAGTACGAAGATGTCTTTGAAACTTTCAGTATTTCTCAAAAAATCATTTTGACAGACTGGTATGCAAAGCATAAGGATCGGATTAACGAGTAAATTTCCTCTTTGGAAAGTGGTGGCACAGAGTTCTCCACGCCGTACGGATAGGGTTAAGTGGTGGCACGGAGTTCCCCACGCCATACGGATACCATAGTAAAACACGACGTACGGATAGGGTTAAGTGGTGGCACAGAGTTCCCCACGCCGTACGGATACCATAGTAAAACACGACGTACGGATAGGATTAATCTTTGATGTTTGCTCCCCGGGCAGGATCATCGTGGACAAGATTGACAAGAACAAGGACGGAGTGATCGTGGAGCAGGAGCTGAAGGATTGGATCCAGTACGTCCAGCGCCGCTACATCGTCACCGACACGGAGCGCATGTGGAAGGACCACGAGCCCGAGTACGACGACACGCTCAACTGGGAGTCGTATCAGAAGAGAACTTTCGGCTACAGCGACGGTAAGAGCAGACGCCCTTTTGAGCGAGTGCATGATGGGATCGGGTCTGATGAGGGAATGGTATTTGATGTATCAAATTTGACCAGGAAGTTCATTACAGTCCATTGCAATCAACAAGCCAAAAAGCCCCAAAAACATTGGACCCAGCTTTTTTTGTGTGTCCTGTTTATTTGTATTGCCTGTCAAGCTCTTCCCCCAGTGGGTGGTTGGTGGGTGCTCTGGTGTGGTTTGCTCCTTTTTTTCCCTATGAAACGTGTTTCGTCCTTATCTCTCCTTTTTTGTGTTTGTTACTCTCTTGTAACATCTCTAAATCTTTTGAGTTTATATGATCTTCTTGTGTTGCAAGTGCTGTAAAACTTTTTCTACAACAAACATAAAACAAGCTTTTCCCCTACAAGAAGGGACTTTCATATTATTGATGTGCTTGTCTTGAACTCGGAGGAGCAAGGTCTTTTCATTTGTAGCTTTTATGTCAGCGACAATTTGTGTTTACCATTTTAAAAATATTTTTTTCCCTTGCCCATTTATATGAGATTGACTCCATCTGATTAGTGGGGGAAAAGTGCGTATGATAGTGTCCAATAGTGTATTACGTGCATACTTAGTATGATAAGTAACTGTTACAGAGAGATTCCAGGATGATAGGGGTAAGTCATTGGTCTGAGAGCAATGATGATTTTAGAAATAATGGTGGTGATGAGTTCCCTTTCCCTACTGGAACCATCCTTACGGTCACCGTGAAGTTCAGAAATGGTCGGCAGAGTCTCTGCTAACATGATGTTGTTACTGTTTACCATTAATTTTCACAAGAATGAGAAAGAATAAGGAATGCTTTATACGAAGACTTTGCCTTAACTTTCAGAGCCAAAAGAGGGTTCTCCAACATTTGAGTACAAGGACATGATCGAGAGAGACTTGAGGAGGTGGCAGAAGGCTGACCACAATTCTGACGGAAAACTGTCCAAGGAAGAGTTCCAGGACTTCCTGCACCCCGAGGAGGCGGAGCACATGCGCGACATTGTTGTCATGGTGGGTGTTTTTGTATACTGCCTTATCCAATCTCTCTCAGTATTATCATTTGTGAGGTATCGTGGTGAAATCAGGCGCTCGTCAAAATGATGAAATATAAGAAATTGGCATTTTTCGGGCAGTTCGGATTTTTAAAAATAGAATTTTTGTTCTGTGTGAGAAACATTGGAGTGGACAAATAATTAGTCTGACCATGTCGCGCCCAAGGTGGGCTCATGAAAACTTTCAGTTTTCTCCAGAAGAGAAAAAGTTAATATCACAAAATTACGTATTGGACATACCCCCCTGACACTTGATACATCCTTGTATGCTCTCATGTGACCTTCTGCAGCAGTTGCGAGTTATGTAAAATTCTTACCAAACTTAATCCCATTCAGTTTTATTAATTCATGTGTGCTATTTTAACATAATTGGCAGGGGATAAAAAAATGCTGCAAGTTTTGCACACATGTGAGCAGTGTTCAGGTTGAGGTGGATAAATCTATGAAATTGATATTTTGTTAAACCCAGAGAGTGGGTGGTTGGCGGGTGCTCTGGTGTGGTTTGCTCCTTCTTTCCTATCAAACATCTGTCGTCCTGATCTCTCCTCCTTTTAAAAAAAAAAGTTTTTGTTACTCTCTTGTAACACCTCTAATCTTCGGCACTTATACGACCTTATTGTGTTGCAAGTGCAGTAAAACTCTTACGAAAACTAAACGAAACCCAGAGAACTTGACTATCTTTATCTGATTATGTATGCATAGGCTATATATTCCTCTCTCTTTTCTTCAGGAAACTCTTGAGGATATTGACAAGGACGGAGATGGCCACATCAGTCTGCAGGAGTACATCGGTAAGTTTGTCGGGAAGTGAACTCTTGTAAACAAGAGAAAGGGTGAATGTTTGGGCGAGGGATAAGTGAGAGAGATGTGAAGTAAGCAACAGTAAGGGTTAATGTGTTGGCGAGGGATAAGTGAGAGAGGTGTGGAGTAAACAACAGTAAGGGTTAATGTTTGGGCGAGGGATAAGTGAGAGAGATCTGATGTAAGCAACAGTAAGGGTTAATGTTTGTGTGAGGGATAAGTGAGAAAGATCTGATGTAAGCAACAGTAAGGGTTAATGTCTTGTAAGTTAACCTGTTTGGTTTGCAACTGAAAGGTCGGGGGTTCAAACTCAGTCAGGGGCCGGACATTGTGTCCTGGGAAAGGCACTTTACTTTACACAAATTGTCCTGACTTCACTCAGGTGGGAATGGGTACATGGCTATAGACAGTGGAAGGTCTTGTCAGTTCGTTAGTGTTTAAGGGTGTTTAATCAGCTGCTTGCACTGTATGCTTCCCGGGAAGCTGTGAATGTTAGGGTTTAAGGGTTTAATCAGCTGCTTGCACTGTATACTTCCCGGGAAGCTGGGAATGTTTTGGAGTGTTTTCAGGTCTGCAGGGTTAACAATTTAGACTGTAAAGAGCTTAGAGCTTGTTGTTGAGCAGGGATATATACTCTATTTATAAATGTTATTTATTATTATTATATTATATTTGGGGAAGAGATAAGTAAGAGGGATGTACAGAATACAGTGATGGTTGCTGTTGAAAAGAAGGATAGCTGAGAGAGATGTGTAGTAAACGGTAAGGGTTGTTGTTTTGTCAGGGATAGGTGAGAGGGTTGGGAAGAACGAGAGGTATAGTAAAGAGTGTTATAATTTGTGAAGAACGAGAGGTATAGTAAAGAGTGTTATAATGGTTTGATATTTTGTGAAAAGGATCCGGAAAGAGGATTGGCGTCTGGAAGTGTTATCTTTTTGTTGCAGCTTTTTACTTAATTCCCCCCCCCCCCCCCCCCCCCCCCACCCAGGGAGGCGGGGGGGGGGGGGGAGAAAAAAAAAAAAAAAAAGGGGGGGGGGGGGGGAGGGGTTCGAGTCTATGTTTGTTTTAGATTTTTTTAAAAAGGTCAAATGTGTAATGGGTAGAGAGTTCCTTGTTCCATGTTGCAAACAGTAACATGAAGTAGAGGGAGAAAGCTGGAAAATTTTGGGAGAACGTTTAAAAAATCGCTGTACTTTTTTATTTTGAGTCATTGTTTTATGTACACATTTCTGTCATGATAAAGAATATAGAACAGGTAGTTTTGGAATTTAAACATTAACGAATTTTTGTTGGCAATAGGGATAAGGTGGTAGTACAGGAATCTAGTTATTCATCAAGTATATGTTGACATGATAGAGTTTTTATGATAGTACAAGAATTTGGCCATTAATGCATGCATATTGACATTATAGATTTTATGATAATACCAGAATTTGACCATTTTTGAATGGTTGTTGACAATATAGATTTTATGATAGTTGAGGAATTTGACTATCAATGAATGCCTGTTAACATTTTACAGATTTTAAGATAGTTCAAGTTAGAATGTATGATAGTTCAGGAATTTGCCTATTTAATGAATGCATGTTGACAATGTAGATGATATTTGGGGAGACGACGAAGATGATGAGGATGATGAGGAAGGAGAAACAGACAAAGACGGAGAGCCCGAGTGGGTGAAGACCGAGCGGGAACAGTTTACCAACTACCGGGACAAGGACCACGATGGGAAGCTGAATAAGCAGGAGATTAAAGAGTGGATTATCCCCGAGGATTATGATCATAGCTCGGCTGAAGCGGCCCACTTAGTGAGACAGACTGACGAGAACAGGGTTGGTGTCTCACACACAGACATTTGTCACTTTTGCGCCCCCACCCTCTAGGCCTGCCTGGCTTCTCTAACCTCTCTGGGACTAGGCAACACTGTAGGCAGCTAGTGTACTCCGCGACAGGCGTTTTGTTCTTTTCTTGTGCCACAACTGGCGACCTCAATGCTTTCTTATCGTTTCTCCATTTTTTTAAAATAATGAAAACAGATCTTAAAAAGTGAGCTTAAGAAGAAGTCACATTTTCACTGCTTGTTAAAAAAATGGAGATATAACAAGAGCCTCTTACCTGTCTGCCTGCGGCTGCCCTCCTAACAGAGGCGAGTCAGAGGAAGGAAGGAAGGAAGATATGACAAGAAAGCGCAGAGGTCGCGAACTGTTAGCAAGAGGAAGCGTTGATGCGGCTTGCCTCCTAAATGATCTAAATTGTGTTGATGGGGGGTGTAAAAACACCTTCATAAAGTATTTTTTAAAGAAAAGAAAAAGTTGATGTGGCTATGACAATGCTGAAATTATTTTTTAGCTGGAAGTGTTTGATAAATCTGGAACAAGCGCCTGTCTAGAGTGATAATTCTGCAACAGTTTTGAGTTCTGTCTTGGTTTTGAGTCTGGGTTACAATTTCCAAGTGTCATGTCAGCCTCAGATGGAACACAGGATTCCCTTGGGGAGTTTTGTGGGGGGGGGTTTGGTTTGAACTTTGTGAAACTATGAGAGAAAAACGAGCATTCATGTCGGGGGACCACTGTTTTCACAAAGGAGGTTCTCACCACCGTTTGTGGGTACCAGTGTTGTCTGAGACGTGACCTTGACACTTGGGAGTTGTGGGTAGATGCGTAGAATTGCCGAATGCTTTGCTTTCCCATTCCCAATGCTCATTCTCATTATTTTCTCTCCCCTTCTCCCCCCTCTCTCTTGACTTTTGTTTGCTGTTGGCTGCTGCTGGGCTCCCTCCCGCCCTCCACCCCTCTGACCCCTGACCCCCGACCCCCCTACCGGTCACTGTAGCCGACCTGTGGCCTCGCAGTGCGGAGGATGAAGGGGCAGAGGAGCCTGACTGGATTAAGTCAGAGCGAGAGCAATTTGAAGGGTATCGGGATAAGAACAAGGATGGGAAAATGGACAAGGAAGAAGTAAAGGAGTGGATCATTCCCGATGACTATGACCACTCGGGGGCTGAGGCCAGACACCTTATATTCGAGTCTGATGTCAGCAAGGTAGTCACACACCTTCTTCTTACTTTTTTTGGTTGTTTGTTTTTTTCCTTTCTTCTTCTTCCTCTTTATCTTTGTTTCTCTGGTTTCTGTTTTTTGGCTTTGGTTGTATTCATCCATTTATCCCCGTCGCTTACTGTGCTTCTATTATTGTGCTGTCCGGAGTCCCCCATTTGTTTCTCAGGGGGTCACAAAGTTTTGGAGGAATTTCCTCATGTGATTTATAAACTGACTTGATAGGTTATCGAGTTTTAATTCCCTCTAGAGCCAGCTTTTATTAATTAAAAAAAGTCCCCAGTAACAAAATAATATGTGGCATACATGGAGCAATGAAAGGGTATGTGGTTAAATTATTCTTTTAAAAAAATCATTGTTTCTTGTTTTCTGCCTGGTTGTGTTGCTTTCTGCTGAGGATAAATGGGTGTGTCAACTTTTAGACTGTGTAGAATAGTGCTGATATGTAGGAGGGTTTTTTTGCTGAGGATAAGTGGGTGTGTCAACTTTTAGACTGTGTAGAATAGTGCTGATATGTAGGGTTTTTTTTCGGGGAGGATAAGTGGGTATGTAAACTGCAGTACTTGTTGGCAAGTGTGAGACATCTGATGGTAACTGAGTATGGTATTGTTTTCAGTGAAAATGTCTAAGTTTCTAAACATATTTCGCACGTAGAACTTGCCTGAAGTCAACTAAAGAAACAAGAGCAAGAAATATTCTTTCCGAAGTTCTTTCTTTCTTTTTTTGTTGTTGAATACCAATATTTGGTGCTGTTCAGGTTATTTTATAATGTAAAGAAATGATGGGTATAAACACAATTCTTTATCTTTTTATAATAGTCCTGATCAAATCTAAGTCAATAGTGCTGTAAAACACCAACTCAAACAAGCAGACAAATATAATAGTTGTTAGCTTTGGTGAATTGTTGGTTTCTGTTCTGTGGCTTTGACTGTGTCCGGAGCACCGTATGATTGTTTACTTCTCTCCCCTGCTTGACACGCCGTCAGCAATGTGCACCGTGTTTGCCACGCTCTGGTGGTGGTGGTGGTGGTGGCTCTCTGCTGGCCTGCCGATGTCTGTCTGTACATGTGTGAATGTTTGATTTCATCAGTGTGCCTGTGGATGTTTGACTCAGTCTGTTCCTGTGTAGGAAAACCTCTGCTGCATCTTGTGCTCTGTGTCCCCGTGTCCTCGTTGTGGGTGGTTGATGGGTGCTCTGGTGTGGTTTGCTTCTTCTTTCCCATCAAACATCTGTTGTCCTTATCTCCCCTCCCACTAACTGAAGTGTATTTTGGCCATTCCCAAAGGGGGGACATTTACCATGTTCTTATGCACAGTAGAATTGTAATTGTAAATGAGCTGATTTATCAATGTCATGCTCATATCTGTGCCTGAACTGCAACAGGGAACTGCTGCTTTTGCTTTCCTAATCCTTACTGTCATCATTTTTCCTCGACTTCTTTTGTGTTTGTTACACTAATATTCGAAGCAAACTTTAAGCTGTTGAAACAAGAGAGGTGAGCAGAGTAAGCCTGATTCCCTTTTAGGACTTCTCTATTGACATCTACCCCTTGGCGCTCATATGGCCTTATGCAGTTGCGAGCGCCGTAAATAAAATAAACTTATCTCCCCTCCTTTTTTGTGTTTGTTACTCTCTTGTAACATCTCAAATCTTTGACACTACCTTATTGTGTTGCAAGTGCCGTAAAACTGTTACAAAAACAAGAGTGTCCTCGTTGTCCCAATGTCCTGTTGTGTCCTCGTTGTTCGTAAATCTCCAGTTTCTCTCAGCCTTTGTCTGGAAGCTAGTGTCCTAGTGTCCTTGTGTCCCGTCAGAGCGACCATCTGTTGTTGGGGATATCTACTCACCGTGTCCATTTTCCCGTTGGCTAAATCGGGAGACTACCAAGTCTTGTTTCTAGCACTATTTATGCAGCACTATGTAGCAGCTTTCATTTTTTTGGTCTCAGTAAACACATTGTTGGTCACGTGTAGAGTCCCCTCCACTGCCCCTTCAGCAACGCTCGACCTTTTTCTGTGCACCCGTTGTGTATCAAATGGAAGTGAATATCTCGGGAAATTCTACCGTGGGCAAGACAATATATGACAGGTCACATCCTTTATTTGACGGTTGTTCGCTTACTATAAAAGACAGATCGGTAAACTTTTACCAATAGAAAAAGAAATGAAGAGATAATAATAATAATAATGGTTTGCATTTATATAGTGCATATCCACTTATGCAATGCTCTATTCTCTACTATGAGATGAATTCATCTCTTGAGAAGATCTGCATAGAACAAGCCCTAATGATGTAAAAAGCGTGGAAGTACTGAGACTTAAACAGCGCTCTGATTCTATGCAGTGACGCTGTACGTTTGATGGGTGGGAGAAAGACAGCTCACTTCACTATGTAATTATTTTATTGGTAACAAAGCTTGGCTACTTGTCAAACAATAATCTATCTATTGAAAGAGAAGCAAAACGATAGCTATCCGTAGATGATACTCAGGAAGAGCAAGCCATAACGATGGTCACAAGTATAAAATGCCGAGCCGCCACATTGAGTCTGACTCTCTTACACGATGTGTATAAGATTTTTAAAAACCCCACCTGGCTTTGTTTCAATTATAGAACCCGCGCTTCCCATCCATTTGTCTATAGATATACGTTTCACCTCATAGCTAAAACAATAAGCTTGACCTTATTGTGTTGCAAGTGCCGTAAAACTCTTTACTGAAACTAAAAAACAATAGGCTTTCAAGGGATGCTGCTCTCTTCATTCCAAAGTGAGTAGAAGCTGAACTATTCACAAAACAAATTACAGGTTTTAACCGCCGTAATTATGGGATCACACGTTAACAGCGCACCAGGTGGCGGATTATTGAGATGTATGAGACACGTGTACAGCACAGTGAAGCTACCTCGTGGAATGACACGTTTACAGCACACTAGCTGACAGATTATCGACACGTGTACAGCACAGTGAAGCCACCACGTGGAATAGCACGTTTACAGCACACTAGGTGGCAGATTATCAACACGTGTACAGCACAGTGAAGGGGTTAATGCTGACTTGTCACTGTACAGCCACTCTGTGTGTTGATGTTGCTCTATATCTCTGCCCCTTCCTTTCCCTTCCTCTCCCAGTCTGAATGCACCTTCTATTTCACTTCATCGCATTTCTCATTATATATATATATATATACATATATTTGATCACGCAAAAATGTTCTGTTTTTGCACTTTGAATTTATCACCTTTTTCTTGTGTTGGTTGATAAGAATAGCTGATTGTAATTTTCAGGACTTACATCAAGAAGAACTTAAAGAATAAAGAGATAAAATCTTATAGAGTGGTAGTTCAGGGCAATTTGTAAGCTTCATGATCATAGCTCTGCATTTTATTCAATTGTATTTACTGGATTGACTGAAAAAGATTAAAATTGCTATTATGAGCTTTGGTTCATCAACAACTTTCATTATTGTGTACACTGTTTATGATATACCAATTGTTGCCCAATATGCATTTCATCAGTTAGATGAGAACTGAAAAAAAGAAGATAATATGTCAGTCAGTTATACTTTCAGTAAAATGAAATTTTAATTTTTATGGAAGTGCTACAAGTCGTTTTTTCCCTGAATGATGATAAAGAAACTGACAATGTTTCCCCATCGTTTGTTTCCAGGACGGCAAGTTGACCAAGGAGGAAATTCTAGAAAAGTATGATCTCTTCGTGGGCAGCCAAGCTACAGACTTCGGAGAGGCCTTGACGAAACACGATGAATTTTAAACCTCGAGTCGTGTAGGGTTTGCTGTTGAGAGTGGGATGTAGTCAGTGTGTGTGTGTGTGTTATCTCTGGTCTGTGCCTCCTACACACCTGTGTCTGTCTCTGTGTCAGGAGGATTTCTGTCAGGTTTGTTTGTAGAAAGTGAGTGAGTTTTGAACCGTAGACATACTCTGACGCTGCTTGAGACACTTGTCCATATCAGCCTGTCCGTCTATCTGCCTGTCCGTCTATCAGCCTGTCAGTCTATCAGCCTGTCCGTCGTGAGTGATGGTACGGTCACAATGTGCTCGCTAGACCGTCTTCTGTGTCGGGTCTTGTCGTGAGACGTACGGCGCACAGAGAGGTGGCAACGGACGATTGTTTTGTTGTTGGGATTGTTATCAAAAGTATGAGCTTGGTATCAAAAGACGAGATAGGTGGGCTTGTGGGAGACTAGGCTCCCATCCGGTGGGCAGTGGGAGATGAAAGGATAAAAATACTTTGTAGCAGATGTAAAAACGATCAGAAAGTGGAAATATCTGCAACTTTTGCTGGATGAAATGCACACCTGTAAAATGTACCATCTTGCCTTGTTTTTTGGGGGAGGAGAGGTGTCAATTTGAGAAAGCCTGTGTGCTTTGGTAGAATTTCTCACTAGCTTTGGGACAATGGGGACATTGCTGGGGGTTTTTTTTCGTCTCAGGTTCCGAGTGTGTGCACGATTGTCATACACAGGGAATGGGGCTGCTGAACTTTTAGTCGGTCGAAGATAAAAATATCAGTTGTTGACTCTCAAAGTGACATATTTTTTGTCAAGTTTTGTCCATCTTATTGCGTGGCTAGTGCTGTAAAACTCTCACTTAAACTAAAAGTTTTGTCCATGAGAAAGTTGTCAGCCCCACATGTCTCTCGCTTTCCCTTGTTTGTACCGATGTGTGGGTAGATTGTTGAAGAAATGATGAGATTCCCCGCTGTGTAGAGTTGGCTGATGGGCACTTACATAACCTTATTGTGTTGCAAGTGCAGTAGAACTCCTACTACTAAAACTAAAAAGAGTCGGCTGATAGCTAGCTCATACTAATAGTTCACCTTTTCTCCATTTGTTCCTAGCTAGCTACAGAAGTGTTTGAGTGTATCTTCTTAGATGTCCTTGTTTTTCCAACTTAACGTTGCTTACAAGAATTATTTTTAACCTTTATGAAATCTACAAATGGAATTGCGCAATTTTAAATCACTGTCAAGCTTCAAATTTTCATTGGTGCATAAATGAAAGTGTAAAAGAATGCGGACATGTTTTTGAGCTATCTGTGAGAACGAATTTTTATTCCTGCTGAAAAAAAAAAAGAACAAAGATTTGTGAACATTTTCCGCAGATATTGGAAGTTTTGTGTGTTGTGAGGGAGCTCAGAGCGGCCGGGCTGCGGGCGCAGAAGTCTCGTTTAGCTCTCTCTCTCTCTCGAGATTGAATCAGAAGTTTGGAGAAAATGCTGTGTATGGTTTTTGAGATGTAATGATGCTTTGAAAATGTTGTTTACTTTTGTTTTCCAACTGTGTAGTCATTCAAAATACTCCATAAATGTACTAAGTTTTGTGTTTTTTGCTGCTACCGGATGATATCGGTCGGGCGAGAAAGAAAAGTTTTTGCCCATGGTTTTTTTGTGTGTGTAATGTGTTGATTGTGTTGAAATTATGCGTGTTTGTGGTGCTCGTAGAAGACACGACTGCCGGTGTCTTAGGGTAAACTGTACATGCGTGTCATGTGTACTAGTACTATGTGTGTACATGGGTGTGTATACGATTCTATAGGTACACAGGTTAATATGTACTACGTGTATGTATGTGAACATACAGCAGTGTTGTACTACATATGTGTGTGTGGTGTGTGTACATGCGTCGGTGTGTACTACACGTGTGTGTGTGTGTGTGTGTGTACACGCGTCAGTGTGTACTACACGTGTGTGTGTGTTGTGTCCACTCAACTGCTATTCTTGCCCTGGTGCTATACTCCACTCCTGACCTGTATAAATCCAAGTCTTCTCCTGTGTGGCTGCATGTGTGTGTGTGTGACTGAGTGTGTGGCTGATTGTGTGGACTGTTTTCTGGTGGGTAGCTCTGCTCCATTTTACTAATTTTAGTCATCACATTTCGGAAAGAGACAATCTGTTCCTAGTCTTTTCTGTGACTTTGTGAAAGCACAGGCCGGGCACGTCCTTATATGACCGTATTGTGTTGCAAGTGCTGTAAAACTCTTGCTAAAACTATTTTTAAAAATGTCCTTAGTGTGGGCAACATGTCCTTTGTTTGTGTGCTCTGAGGAAACAGGATTGTATCATGTCTTGGAGTTTGAGGTTTGTAAATAAGTTTTGGAATTGTGCAGGCATGTATATGTGCTGGTCAAGTATTACAGTAGCCTAGCCGTCTGTCGACATAGCTGGCTGTAGACGTGCTTGGGTGCCGTCTCTCTCTCTCTTTGGTCCACACAGCACGGAAAATCCTGACTTGTGGTGTATCATCCTTGCTGTTACTACACAGCACGCACGTAATAATGGTAATAATAATAATAATAATAATAATAAATAGTATTTGTGCTGCTCATTTCTATTTTCTAAAAAAATGCTCAATGCGCATTATATTCATCATAATAATATCACACCTTAAAAATTACCCTAGAAGAGAGATGCTGCCTTGCATATCATATAGAGATGTGATCACAAACGTACATGACGTATAATAGAAATATGGTCACTGACGTAGAGAGATCTGATCACTTGACATACGTTGTAAAGATCTGACCGTTCACGTATTGATGGAACATTTCCACCGGTCCTCTTCCTTCTTCTTGCACCCTGTAATTGAGATTTTATTCTTTCTTCCACTATGCTTGTGGGTGGTTGGCGGGTGCTCTGGTGTGGTTTGCTCCTTCTTTTCTATCAATCATCTATCATCCCTATATCTCTCCTAACTTCTTTTTTGTGTATGTTACTCTCTTGTAATTACACATTTATTCTTCGGCACTTATATGACCTTATTGTGTTGCAAGTGCCGTAAAACGTAGATGCGTAGAAATTTTTAGTGAAGTAAGAGAGCCCAAGAGAAGAGAGATTTTGTTGATGTTGTTCAAAATGTAAGAGCAAATTAAAACTTTAGGGGAGTGTTCGTGACAACGGAGTGGACATTTTGGTCATTTCCTAGAAAATTGTCGCAACTTTCCCCAGAACTGTTGCAAGAGTGTAGGGCCAGTGTAGGAGTCAGGGTTGCCGTAGACAGAAATAGCATGTAGTTTTAGGCCGTCGGTTTGAGCCGGTAGGCTACAACGAGTGTGTTGTTTGCACCTTTCCATCCATCATGTTTCCTTAGATGTGTCAAAGCGACACACACGGTGTTCTCCCATCAGTGTGAGCTTACACGGCCTGTGTTTAGTGTCATGAGTTTGTAACCTTTGACTGTATTGACCTACTTTTTGGTACAGGTCAGGGGTCAGTTCACCAGAGTTGCAATGTCTACTTTTATGGATTTGAATTTGTGTAAAAAATGTAAAACTACGAAGAACATGATCAAAAAATTTTTTTGCTTGTTGCTGTAAAGTTATTTTGAATGGTATTTTATCTGCCAGTATCACCATGGTGCAGTATATGTGGATATGTCTTTGTTACTGTCCGTGAGCGTTTGGATGTGATCACATAACGAATTGATGAACAATCCGTCCTTTCTTGTGTAGATTGATTTTAATGTAGATTTTTGAAGTTTGCTTTCAATCAATAAAGATTTTTTTTTCCTGCTGACATTTTGCTTCTTGTAAGTGAGAAAAATTTTGGAACATAAAAAGCTTTTAGATTTTTTTTCAGTTTGTGCTCATCTGTTTCATGATGCTTTCGTGTCTTTTCTCCCCGTCGGTTGCCAGTTTGTCCACTTAATTGTGTGTCCTGGCACCTTTCTGTACACCGTGCGCCGTCTAGCACACACGGGTCGGACCCGCACACTCTGTGAGGGCAGTCGTGAGTTTTTTTGTCTCACGGTTGCTACCTCACTGGGTTTTTTTGTTTGTTTATTTGTGTGGTCTGTTTTGAGAAGGAAAGTCAGGGACAGTAGGATAGAGACACAGAGCCTTTCCTTAGCATGTTAACTTCCCACTGTTGAGGTCTTGACCATCAATGATTTATTTATAGAAGCACCAGCCATTTCTTTCTTTCTTTCATCCATGTCCAGGTGCTGTTTTAGCCAAACAGGTCCTGAAACAATAAATTGCTGATGTAGTTGTAGTAGCATAGACATCTGTCTGTTTGTTTGTTCGCTGGTCCGCGAGAAAAAGTAGCAAGTGGACCAGGAGCTTATGTAGATGTTTATTTTGTCTTACTTCATTTACCAAAGAGATGTACAGAGAAAGAGGGAGGGAGGGAGGCTGGGAGAACAGCTGATGCCTCTATGTGTGTGTTTGTTGATGTGAGAAAATGTCTCTCTAGTTGGTCCGGTGCTGTTTTTTCCGTCATCTCGTCGTGTGCTTGTCGCTGGCCTGTGGTGGGAGAACAGTGAGAAATGTACTTACAACTTGGAACTTACAACTTATAACGTGGAGCCTGGAACTGGAAACTGTGGATCTTCCACTGAGAGATTTCCGCCTTCCTCTGCTGTCTTGTGTCTGTGTTTGTGTGGCAGTGTAAAGATAGTCGTTTGTTACTCTCTTGTAACACCTCTAATCTTGTGGCGCTCATGTGACCTTGTGCAGTTGCGAGCCTGGTACAAACCTCTACTAAAAAAAAAAAAGGTCGTGACCTTATGCAGTTGCAAGCGCCGTAAAAACTCTACTAAAACTAAGACTAAAAGATAGTCTGGCTATCCTGGAGAAATGGTACCAGTTTTAGCAACAAGCTGGTGTGGTTACGGTACTCAACATTACCAGCTTGCGCTCCATAGAGCGGGGGAGGGGCTCTCTACGCGACGCGACAAGTCTAGACTTTGCCTCGTGAGTGGGAGGAAATAAATGATATTTTTGTTTGAACTATGGATGCCTGTATGTGAAAGATGATGACGATCCGTCGGTATTTTTGTGCTCTTATCATCACGTGTTCCGTACTCACCTAGTTTATTATCTTCTGTCGTGCACTATCAGCTGTTCTCTACTCACACAGTTTATCTTATTATTATTATGGCTATGTTTCTTCCTCTATGCTTTGGTCACTGAATATTTTTTTCGTCTCATCTGTCTGTTTGTTCCATACACCCTGTACATGGACTATATATATATATATTTTTCTGATTCTGTAACACTTTGACTAATGATTTACCCCCCCCCCCCCTCCCGAGTTAGCCACCGGTAGAGATCACGTAATGTCTGTCCTCGTCTGCACCGCTTCTATAAATTAGTTACCTCAGTTGAACACTGTTTTCTCTAGATGAACTCACCATTTTCGCTTCCACTCATTTCTGTCTAGCCCTCTCTTCTCTCTCTTTCTCTCTCTCTCCCTCCCCGCCTCTCTCTCTCCCCCCCCCCACCCCCCTTCTCTCTCTCTCTCTCTCTCTCTTTCTCTCTCTCTCTCTCTCTCTCTCTCTCTCTCTCTCTCTCTCTCTTTGTAGCTGGCTTTCTTCACTCAAGTTTTAGATGATATAATAAAAAACCTTGAAATTGTCTGTGAATATTTTTTTTTGTTTTGGGTTTTATACGCATTTTTTTCTTCACATTTCTCCACCGGACTTGTCCTGCACATATCAAGTATTCTTGTCTGCCATAGATTTAAAAAAAATTATTTTTTTGGGGCGGGGGGGGTGTTGTAAAACTTGAATGTTCTGTGACACCAGTTGATCACACAGTCTTATGTCATGTGTGTCTTGTCTTAAATTGAAATAATATAAACATATGACCTTATTATTTTGTTGCAAGTACTGTAAAACTCTTATTCTAAAACAAAACTAATTAAACCACTGATTCAGCCCTTGGATCAAAATGAGCCAAAAGACTTTACTACTACTATGTGGAATGTTTTCTTTTCTTTGTTTTTTCTATTATTTTGTTTGTTTTTTTTCTATTATTTGTTTGTTTTTTTCAATTATTTTGTTTGTTTTTTGTTGTTTTTTTCTCCTCCAAGTGTCTGTCATGTATTATGAGAAGCATCTTCCTACTTTTGTATTCTTTCAGTACTGTTTGCCTTATGTATGGAGTGGATCGCTCGAGGTGAATAAACATGAGTACGTTAATGATCACCTGTCTCTGGACTTGTTTGTGTACACATGTGTGTTTGTACGTGTGTATGTGTGTGTTTGTGTGTGTGCGTCTGTCTGTGTGTGTGTGTGTATGTTTGTCTGTCTGTCTCTCTGTCTGTGTGTGTGTGTTTGTGCGCGTGTTTGTTTGTGTGTGTCTGTCTCTGTGTATGTGATTGTGTGTGTGTGTGTGCGTGTTTGTTTGTGTCTGTGTCACTGTGGAACTTGTATTTTTTGCCAGCGGGTGGTTGGAAGGTGCCGCTGGCAGGACCTACTTCTTTACTCTCCTTCTGCTGTGTCTGTCTGTCTTACTTTTCCCCAGCAATGATGACCAATATTGTGTCGATGTCCTTCTCTTTACTCAAACACACTTCTGTGGGTGTCTACTGTCCAGTGGGGGGTTGGCGGGTGCTCTGGTGTGGTTTGCTTCTTCTTTCCTATCAGACATCTATCGTCCTTATCTCTCCTCCTTTTTTGTGTATGTTACTCTCTTGTAACACATAGAGATCTAATATATTCTTCGGGACTTAAATGAACTTATTGTGTTGCAAGTGCGGTAAAACTCTTACTAAAACAATGACGAGGGTGGTTGGCGGAAGTGCTACGGGGTACCGGCGAAATCCAGTGTCGATACTTTCTCGACCGGCAGTACCGGTACTTTGAGTGACACGAGTGGGTGACGTCACAGACTTTGCGTCTTGCGTCTAACGCCACGATCTGCCGCCCCCCCCCCCCCACACACACACACTCCAGTCAGAATTGGAGAGGCGATCTGTGACGCAAAATACCTTTGAAATTTGCCGCCGCGCGGGATTAACCGTCGTATGCAGAACTTTTACTATAATTTATCGCCGCTAAAAATTGATTTCATTTTCGGAATCAGCGACAATCAGCGTACATGTATCAAAATAATTAAAGTGGAACCAGATTTGATGCCATATTTAAATTTAAGAAAACTTCCGTTTTTTATTGTCAATTTTGAATCTGAAGTCTTGCACAAATATATCAAGGTCACCAGCTGTGTTGTGCATCTGGCGTCACGTCACAGCTGTTAGGCCTAGATCTAGATCTAGATCTACACACTGCACACTTCCCGTGGTAAAAAAAACAACAACAAAAAACCTTTAGTGTCTGCTTACGGCTTACTGAAATTATCAGACCTCCTCAGCGTGACCGTAGCCTAGGCTAGTCTGAAAAAATGATAATGTGGAGGCGAGGCAGAACTAGGTCACAACGTGGGAGTCACATTAAACAGCCGATTATCATCTCATTCCTATAAATAGCACTGTACCAAGTGTTTAACATATTCCCTGCAAAAATAATGAAATATCCTTCCTTTAATACCAATTAGCTTTCAATGTGCACTTCACACATTTTCATTCATGAAAATGTTCTTCGTTTTAATTACAATAGTTATTTATTTTACTTGAAAAACATTTCTGAAATGTAATAGGTCAGGGGAGGTGAGAAGAACAGCGACGGAAGTAGATTTCTAAACAAAGTTTTCAAAATGTCAGCCGCCTGCCGCCTTGCCTTGTGATGTGAAACGTGTGACATGAGGATAGGCCTAGTATTTCATTTGGATTATCAATTTCAGTGCTTTCTGATGGAATAATGTACATTGCATAGACTTGTAGAAAATGGGCTGAAAATGTTGTGTTACTGGGTGCAGGTCAAATTATGACTCTGCTGACAAGGTTACCGTTTTTAGACTAGATATCTAGACTCTAGATTCTAGATCTATATATCTATATCTATATCTAGAAGTAGATCTAGAATCTAGACTACATCTAGATCTAATCTAGACATCTAGATTAGATCTATACTAAATCTAGATCTATATAGATCTAGACTAGATTCTAGATTAGATCTCAAGATCTAGATCTAGATTATCTAGATCTACCTAAAGATAAAGATGAAAGAGAACGTTGAATGAAAGCAATCTCACGCGACAAAATACCCGATACTGCAAATACTGTTGTTTGTATTCAACATTTTCCAGATGGATTTGAAACTATTTATGTCAAAGGAAGATTAAGACCAAAAAAAAACCCCATCGCTATTTTCTAATTTGCCCAGTTTTAAGTTTAATTCCAACACCAGTGCCCTTAGCAAGAACAACATGTAGAGCTATATTATCTAGAATCTAGATCTAGAATTTAGATCTGATATAGATCTAGAAATAGATCTAATATAGATCTAGAAATCTAGATTCTAGATCTAGACTAGAAATCTAGATTCTAGATCTAGACTAGAAATCTAGATTCTAGATCTAGACTAGTAATCTAGATAGAAATCTAGATCTAGATTCTAGATTCTAGTTATTCTGTCAAATCCGTTGAAAGTCACCATTTAGAAGAGAATTCAGTCAAAACAGAAGTCAAGTGCAATCTAGATTTAGACTAGTCTACATTGCTGGCTATGACATAAGAAAAGACAAACATCTAAAGGGGGATAGTTTTTGTTACTTTGAAAAGAATGGGGAGTTTACATCTTCTTTGAGTAGAGGAGGCTTAGATGTAGATATCTAGATCTAGATCTAGATTCTAGTTCAAGCTGACGACTCAGCATGTCAGTAGACCATCTTTTGCTACATAGCCTTTCACTTTCTGTCAGTGTGTGACAAGGTAGGCTAAAACTCTTTGAGTGAAATGTTTATGGACATCTCACAGTATTGTGTTTTTGAGATGAGACAACACAACTGCTTTGTCATGAGCAATACCTTTTTGCTAAACAATTTCTGCAAGATATCAAATCCACCATCTGGGAAAGAACCTAAACAGAAAGTCCTAAAGCTGTCTTCATAAAAACAATGCAAGTTAAACCTTGTTCATATACCTAATGTCTTTATCTCCCCTCCTTTTTGTGTTTGTTACTCTCTTGTAACACCTCTAATCTTCGGCACTTATATGATCTTTTTGTGTTGCAAGTGCCGTGAAACACTTACTAAAACTAGTCTACTGTCCTTGAAAGAACAACAGACGGTCTGTGTAGTGTAAAAAATACGTTGTTTTATTGAGGGTAGGACGAGTGACGTCAGCATACAGACATGTGGACAGACCCTGAGGGCGGTTTCACATAACAATACAAGCACATGTAACAACAGAATATGGGCAGTGTAAGGGATCATGCAACTACATACATATAGAAAAGTGGGATGAAATTCGTCCCAGAATAAACAGGTTTATATGAATGTAAAAAAAACAAAAACCCGTACATGTACCACTTTCATGTTTATTAAGGGACCGTTCACAAATTGATGACTGCAGCAAAATTTTGGCCAAAAATGCCCCCC